ATAATGAATATCCTAATCCACTACCGTTCAGCCCACCCAGTGAGAGTGAAACATGCGGTAATTGGCAATATGTTCAATGTTGCCAGCAAAGTCTCGTCAGATGTTGAGCTGAAGAGAGAATCGCTCAGTATGGCCCAAAACATCGCGCGGTCAAACGGGTACCCATATGCGGGGTCGCAGCGTAAGGGACATCTCACACCTAGAGCAAATCCAGAAGGCGAGTCGATCAATAAGTACCGTTCTGCTTGCCCATTTCAGAAGAGCTGAGTAGGACGATCCGATCGATTCTGCATAGGTGTGACCTACGAGAAGAAGTCAGGATGGGGGAATTCCCCTAATAGTCTTAAGCGCTAGCTCATCCGCAACAGGCTATACGACAGTCTCTGCGACACCCCTGATTGCAGTTAGTTGACCTCCTTCCCCTCGCCAACCTCTAACCCCATTTTCCCCGATCTCTGGGACCTCTTGGAACCGAATTGCGACACTTTTGGCAAACTCCGCCCACTTAGGTGCGTGCTCTACCCACTAATAGCAGTTGACCTCCTTTCCTTCGCCGACCTCTACTCCCTTTTTCCCAGCCTCCGGACTTCTTGGAGCCGAGTTATGAATTTTCGTCGCAAACTCCGCCCACTTTGGTCAAGCCCCGCCCACCATTGACAGCTGGCCTCCACTCCTCCACCACCTCTATCCACCTTTTTCCGGCTCTTAAGACTTCCCCGGCCCGAATTATGAGGACTTGTAGAAAATGCTGTACACTTCAGAGCGCGCTCCGCCCATTGAGCCATGAATTCTCGCCGCAAACTCCGCCCACTTCGGTCAAACCCGGGCCTCCACCCACGTCATATATGCTGGGAACACCTTAGACATTGCTCCCCTACACCAATTTGTTTTCTGCTCTGTAGGCTTTCTCCCAACCGAGTTATGAAATTTTTCATAAAGCACTGCTTTTTTGGAGAACGCCCCGCCCACCGGGGGTGGGTCTCCCTAATTCGATGTGACTTACCAATGCACACCTTTACCCACTTTTTGGCCCAGTTTCGAGGTCGTTTTGAGAATTGAAAATCTTGGTCGTCGGTACAGTTCATTTCGACGCACGCCACGCCCACTGTGGGCGGGGCTCCGCTTAGCTGATGTGTGTTTTGTACTTCGTGAGACCTTGCCCACCCATCCCACACTTGACCCGGTCCTCCAGGC